TGAAATTGTTCTGTCATTGCACATGCATATAAAGAGTATATTTCTTCTTAACTATCTTCCATATTTAAAAAAGTTTAAATTTTTGGATTTCTGTTGAACTATGATTTCCCCAGTACTTTACATGGTGTAATATGAAGCTCATTAGGACTGCTCTTTCCAGGTATGCTGAAAGAGACTACAGTGTTAAAAAATGACTACTTTAAACTAAAGAGTAATATTTTTAATAGCATGTATGTGACTTTAGTCACTCTCATTATGCTTGTGTAGACAGTGGAATAAACTGAAAGTCAAGTGGCTAACATGTATAATATAATAAATCCTTAGATCATTCATGAGAGGGGCGTGTGGGAGCCATCTTTGAAGAAGGAATCAGATGATTCTCACCTCTTGACATTCATACCTTGCATTGTCCTGTCTCATAGAGAGTAGGGTTGCTCTGGGTAGCCAGTAAGATCACAGAAATGACAGAGCATGTCTCCTGAGACTAGGTCGTGAAAGGTGTACAGCAGCTCCCCATCACTAATCCTGGAGGAAGCCCATTGCCATGTCATAAAGACATTCAAGCAGCCCTCTGGGGATATCTGCGTGACAGTTAAAATGATCTGCCAATGACTAGCACTAGCTTGATGGGTATGTGAGCGAGCAACCTTGGAAGCAGAGCCTCCAGCCCAAGTAAAGCCTTCCGATGACCAGTACCAGGTGACATTTTGATGGCAGCTTTACGGAAGACCCTGAGCCATATCCATTCAGCCAATCTGCTCCTGGATGCCTGGCCCACAGGAACTGTTTAAAATAATACATGCTTGTTGGCTTAAGATGCTACATTTGGGGTTAGTTTGCTACTTAGCAATAGATAACGAACACAGGCCAGATACAAGGGAGAGAACACAGGCTGAAAAGTTGACAAATCTAAAACGTGCCTTAACAACAACTTAAAGCTGAGTGCTCTCAGTCAGGCTATTTTAAGTCCTGTGTCTCAATCTTGTCACCAGCAAATTGAGGATACCAAATCTTAGCCCACAGAGGTCTGAAGAATAAATGAAATAACTCAAAGAACCTGGAGGCTGCTTTCTCCTTAGTGCATGTGTCTCTCTTTTCTTTAAACCATGCTTACTCTTACAGCATTTCTTTTTTAATGGAGTTTGAGCCGATGTCTCTTGTGCCCAGAAATGGACTTTACAGGACGCTAAAGAGCAACAGGCAGACACGGGGCTCAGAGTGCTCAGGTATCGCCTCTGTGTTTTGTGTTGGTTTATATTATCTGAATGAAGAGCTGGATTCGACCAGCGTGATTTCAGAGAGATGAAAATTTATAAATATTCTTTGAAGTAGAAGAGATGGCGTAATCTATTTCTGAGTATTCATGTCAGCCCAAGTATAAAAAAAAAATCTCAGGAAATGAAACATCCCCAGATCTTGCAAAAACTCTGCTCTACTCTGACAGGGTCTCTGACAGCTTCATGCGCTCAGTTCAAGACCTGAGGGGTCAACAAGACAACTCTGAAACTGGCTGTATCTGTTTCTGCTGTGCGTCCACCTTGACTCCATTTTTCTGTGTCCTTGACTGAGTAAATTGGGGAATTGTGAGTGTTTGTATGTGCAGTCTCTTACTTTGCACACCCATAAACAACCTGCAGTGCCTTTACCCTTGATATTTAACATTGACATTTCAAATTATTTTTGATAGACTCTGAAGGGGCCTGACCTATATTAGACGCCATAGTTTAAGGGTTAAATCCACAGACCATGCATGAAGATTTATAAGACTTCCTAGGCTTAAATCCCAGCTCTGCCGCTGACTGTATGAACTTGGGCAAATTACTTAAAAACATTCTGTGCTTTGGTTTCCCCTGGCAAAAGCTAAGAAGAGTAATAGTATCTGTCTCACAGACTTGCTATGGGAATAAAGTAGGGTAATATTCCTTAGCAACTTAGAACGCTACCTGTGTGTAAGGCAGCAACCCCGAATCTGTGAGGACTTGTGCGCAAGGCTCTTTACCTTTTCTAGAGAAGTCACCTGAACGTCCACCAGGGAAAGACGTTGGTGTGGTAGAACTTAGGGGAGGCACCCGTGGGAGGTGTCAGTGAAGAAAGAGTCCCTGCCTCAGGGCAGGACAGCAAACAGTTTCATAGGCCAGCAAGTCAATTAATCAAATTCCTCTCCTGTGCATACAAGTGCCTTGATTACACACAGAGACCACATTGCTTCCCGCTTTGCTTGGTCGCCTGCATCCCACGACTCATTAGTGGGAATACGTACACCTTTCAGAGACCCGTCTTGGCCAGAGGCCACTCTTGGGGTAGGGAGGAAGAAACCAGGTAAAAGGGAAAAGAGGCAATGCTTGGACAATATCCTGCGCTGTCAAAAACAAAACAAAACAAAACAAAACAAAAAGCAGGTGATGTTAAATAGAGGGCTTTCATTCTGATAAGGTGGATAATTGGCCGGCCCGAGCCTCCCCGAGACCCACTCAGTGAGTGCAGTCACAGTCATTCAGCAGTCAGGATCCTTGTCTCTTCTGCTCCCTGCATGTGCTCAACTTCGCTTCAGTTTTGAAAGGAAATTATCCTTTGCAGTGCTATTTGAGAGCTCGGATGTTTTCTCAAGTATAACCCTAAAGTGGTAAGTGTATGCTTTACTGTAAGCTCAGAATGTTTGCCTTTCACATGTGTGTTTGATTTTCACAGCTGCTAGATCTCTCGTAGGTGTGTGGGTGTGTTGGATAGGACACTGATTGAGGAGAATCAATCTACCTTTTCTTTTTTAGCAAATGGTTCTAAACTTTGTTGAAAATCTAATAAAAGCTGCAGTCTATTCCTCCAGTAGAAAAAAAAATCACTGAAGTTATGATTATGGGCACCAATTGGCCTTTGCTATATTTACTATAGGCCAAGAAAATAGACTGGGGATTATTGTACTCTTTTTTGACAACGGTTGCTGAATTTAGAAAAGAGAGAAAGAGAGAGAAAGAGAAATCCAGGACACTGCTTCACAAAGCATCAGAAACAAAATGGCCTTCAACAAAGGAGCTCTCACTTGGGCTCCGAGAAATAATTCTGATTATTAGCTTTTCAGAATTAATGACACTGATTAAACAGTGAATTTACTATATTTATAAAATAGTCTAGTCTGAATCAATGTTATTTAAACTGTATTGTGGAGAACCAGAGAATGGGGGTTCCTGGAAGAATGCCCTAATTTAGGGGAGGGTCTGTACAGACAGAATTGAGGTGCCATTCACTCCACATCTGCCAGAGAAGGGCTGTGTTCATAGAGAGGACTAACTGGGCTTCCAAAAAAAAAGAATTGTGTTTTAACAAAGTGTTCCATAATTTTCAAAAGATTGAGATCTGCTTTTCTGGACGTTTGCCAATATAGATGATAACAATTTGAAACTTCTCAACATGGGTTATCAATAACTGGGAGAGGTCATATTGCCAGATATGCAATCTTATGGGTAGAATGAAGGTGACATAGACCAACCAGGTCATATAATTCTCAGTAAATAAAAATACAGAGTCATCCACTAAAGCCACAAAGAGGAAGATTTAGGATTCGGGACAAAAGAGCACAAATGAATTAGTAAAAAAAATTAAAAACTGAAGAGGTCACATTTAAAATAGCTGCAACAAACTTCAGGTACAATCACAGTCAGCTATTCAGAAGAAGCGAGATCGTCTTAGAAAACTCTTTACTGTCAAGTCTGATGTGAAAGCGGAAGACTGTCTCCCACAAATCATCTTTTGATTCCAGTTTCAGAAACAAAGTACCTGCTTGTTTTATGTCCGTTCTTGTCCTTTGTGGCAATATCTTTATGTGATTTCGCCAGCTATTTTTTCGTTCAGACATTTAGCTGCCATGAGTCATGAGCCATGGCGTGAATAAGTAAACCCCACACAGATATGTTGACCCGTTCGGTAGCGCCCACATTTAGCTCTTTGACTTAAAAGGGGCAATTTCACATGGCTTAATCTAACACTTCCTTGAATGTCTCTCTCTAGTTTCAAAGCAACATCCACAGGGGATCAATAATGCCCCTCTGCAGACCCCCTTCAGGTACCCCACGGGGTCCTGTGCTTCTCCGGTGTCTTGGGAAGAGCCCTTGAAGAAGTCCAAAGGGCCTACTGGCTGAAGGCAAAGTCGCCCAGTCCTGCCTCCTCCTGCTCAGCGGCTCTCGCCAAGGCTTTCGGGGCTTCTCAAGGGGGCAATCGCACGGAACTGAAACTCCAGGACCCCCAGATCCCTTTGATGCGCCCTTTAGCCAGGCGCCTTATCTCCTCCACAGCCTCTTTAGCAGCAGAATGTCTAAAACAGGCGTCCTACAGAACACAATGCTGAACTATCTCGTGGGAGGGCACGGCAGGTGGAGGGATCGAGGCTTATCCAGGAAGCCCGGCGGAGACCGCGGCTCCTGCTGCCTTTGAAGTGCTCTGAGGATGCTGTCCTCAAGTCCTCCAAGGGCTGGTTGACCTCCCAAGGAAGCCCGGTTGCCAGCAAGAGCAACGGCGTGCTGGCTAGGAGGGGAGGCGGGGGCAGAGGGGAAAGCCACCACGATGGGGGTCTGCAGGCATTCCGAGCCCCTCCAAACCCAGCGACATTTCTTCTGAGGCCCTGAGCCCCTTGTCCCCCCACGTGGGCCCCTTTGGTCTGCCTGCGAGCAGAGGCTGCTGAGAACCGTTCAAGCCAGTTAAAGAAACTGCCTGCCACCTGGGCAACTTGGTGAGACCTCATCTCTACAATAAATAAAAAATCAGCTGGGTGTGGTAGCACGCGCCTGTAATTCTGGCTACTTGGAAGGCTGAGGTGGAAGGATCGCCGGAGCCCCGTAGGTCGAGGCTGCGGTGGCCGGGAGCGGCCACTGCACTGCAGTCTGGGCGACAGAGTGAGACTCCAACTCAAAAAAAAAAAAAGAAAAAGAAACTGCCTGAAGTAAGTATCGGAAACACAAACACATTAGCTCACAGTGCTCGGAACACAGTCGTAATCACAAAGTCCTTACTTCTTGTCTCCTTTGTACCATTCAAAGGCCGGAGGCGGGACACCTGCACCTTCGCATCTGATCAGTCCGCTGCGTCCCGGCGTCACCGTGCCAGATTTAATTTCCTGAATCGTGGGAGCAACTGAAAAAGAAACAAGAAAATCTGGTGGGTGAGTAAAAATAATCCTCAGCAGAAACACAACACACATATATTTTCATTCCTTTTATATTCAAAGCAATCTTTGGCTGATAGGCCAATGCATGACGTTTTCAGTGTTTTATGCTTCAAACACGAGACTCGTCATTTCCAGCTTCATTTTTCAAGGTGGATAATAGACGAATGTTCCCAGGGAGTGCAGAGTCAAGGCAGTACACTTTGGCTCTGCTTCCCGTTGAAACATTGGCCCTGGTGAGGGCACACTTCCTCGGCACTCTGGTCTGACTACAGGCCGGGAACGGCCCTCATTTACTGAGTGAGCCTGGCAGCCAGGCCTTGGGCCGGGTGCCTGGTGTTCTTGGTTTCCTCACACGAATGCTCTGAGCTGGACAGTATTATCCCAACGTTCCAGAAGTGAAAACTGAAGCTCAGAGAGGCTCAAGGGTTTGTCTACGGTCACACAGCGACTTAGAGGCAGAATCTGGATTGGAGCCAGGCTTGCTGACTCAAAGCCTGGACTCCTTCACTGCTCCGTGTTTTTCCCTGCCTTCTCCCCGTGTTCAGCAATTGAGTTGTTCTGTTGTGCAGTTTCTTCCGTGGACCTGAATGCAGTTCCTCCTCGTTTTCGCAAATTCAAGGCTCATTTTAGATATTAATGCCTCCATACTCTGTCCTATCGCTCTAGCTGGAAACTGCTTTCTCTTCTGGTATCTGGATCTCTCACACCATGAACTTTCTATGAGGTATTGTGAATATTTCGGGGTATGCCAGGCTGCCTCGTCAGCTCCTTGAAGATACGATAACTATCTGATTCATCTTTGCTTATCCCGAGATCAGAACACAGTGACTAGCAGAGAGTGACGCCTGATCCCGGCACCCAAGAGATACTGGAGCCCCAGTCTGTGCCCAACGTTTCTCAAGGTCAAAGCAGTCAAACGCCCTGACGTGACGAAGCTAGACGGGGTGGGACGTGGGGAGACGGGCCATAAGCAGTAAAGAAGTAAGTCGTTCAAACGAAATGCTGGAAGGCGAAGCGCCATCGGGCAGAATACAACCAAAATGCGAGAAACCTGACCGCCACGGGGGAAGAGGAATCAGAGCAGGCCTGGATGAGACTTCAGACAGGCCTCCTCGAGACGGCGGAATCGGAGCAAGGACGCGAGGCGGGAAAGCGGGTTAGCTGTGGAGCGTGCGAGGGAAGACGAGACGGCGAGCGGCAAGGCCCCGGGACGAAGCAGCCCGGGCTCGTCTGAGACACAGCGGAGCGAGCAGCGTGGCGGGTGCCAAGAGGAGAGGAGGGCGTCGCCAGGAAGCGGGGCCCAGGGGAGCAGACGCCGGCAGGACCAGCGGCGGGGCAGAGGGCTGGCCGGAGCAGCGGGGCGGGGACCCAGGGGAAGCGGAGAGGGGAAGCCGGACGGCGAAGCGAGGAGCGGGCGAGCGCGGGCGAGGAGCCGCGGGCGGAAGGCAGCGTGGCACCCGACGGCCGCGGTCGGGACGGGACTTCCGTTCCGGGCCGCGGGCGAGTCCCGGCCGCCGGGAACCGAGCCTGGGGGGCGCGCTTGGGGCCGGGGCCGCCGGGCCTTCGTC